GTACAGGAAGGCTATTGGTTTTTGAGTGTTTACTTTGTATCCAGATACACTACTGAATTTGCTTATTTAATCCAGCAGTTTTTTATGGATTTTGGGGGGCCTTCTATGTAGACTATCATGTCATCTGCAAATAATGATGATTTAACTTCTTCCTTTTCTATTGTTATTCCTTTTACTTCTTTCTCTTGTCTAATTGCTCTGGCTAAAGTTTCTAGGACTCTGTAGAATAGCAAAGTAAGAAGAGAACAACAAGCCAATCTCCCTAATGAGCGCAGAGGCAAAAATCCTCAGTGAGATACTGACAAGCATAATATAGAAAATCATCAAGAAGATTATACACCATGACCACATATGTATATGTAAATTGATAAATGTAATACATCAAATTAATGGAGCCAAGGACAAAAATCATATGAGCATCTCAATAGATGTAGAAAAATCTTTTGACCAAGCCTAACACCAATTCATAATAAAAATCCTACATAAAATTAGAATGGATGATCTTTATCTCAATCCAATAAAAGCCATTTTTGATAAACCAATAGCCAACATCACAGTAAATTGACAAAAACTGGAGGCTTTCTCTCTAAAATCAGGAATAAGACAAAAACATGTTTTTATTTTGAAGAGAATAAAACCAAATAAAATAAAATAGAATAGAGTAAATCAAAACAAAACAATGAACATGGTACATACAAGGAAATCAATAATGGCAACCATAATAGCTTTTATTATCTTCAAAAGACTTGCCCATACAATCAGGCATAATAAAATCAAACAAAATAGTACAGAATAAAAACCAATAAAAGCAAAACAATGGAAGCAGTAAAAGACTTCAAAACAAGATAATAGTAAAACAACAGTAGCTACCATAATGTCTCTTGTTATCTTCAAAGTAGTTGCCAACAACATCAGACATGTTACAATCAAACAGAGTGAAATAAAATAAATAAAACAATGAAAGCAATACCGGGCTTCAAAACAAGATAATAAGAAATCAATAGTGTTTACCATAATATATTTTGTTATCTTTGAAATAGCTGTCTATGCCTTCAAATACAATAAAAGTAGACCAAACAGACTAAAACCAAAGTAAACAGAACAATGAAAATATTATGGGTTTCAAATCATAGATTAATAATTGCCTCTGCCTTTCCTTTCTAGACAAATCCTCCCCTTTCACTTTCACCATATGTATTGTGCATTTTGGATCCCACTAACTCCTTTAGTTTTTCATATTAGGGAGACAATAAAATATTCACCCATGTGACTCTGAACCATTTCACCCATGAGCAAGATCTAAAGTTGTATCCATTGTCCTACAAGAGCCTCGAGTTTATCTTTCTTTACAGATGAGTAGCTTTCCATTGTATAGAAATGCCATGTCTTTTGTATCCACTCTGCAGCTCATGGGCAAGCTACCTCTGTTTCCCTGTCACATAGAACATTGTTCCCTGTCACATAGAACATTGTTCTATCTCTTTTGACTTTAGTCTATGAACCACGTTTGAGTTAATGTGTTTCTTGTATAAAGCATATTGATGGATCCTGTCTCCTGAGCCACTCTGCCTGTGTTTCTTTTTATTTGTGAATTGAGGTCATCTATAATAGTGGTTATAGCCAACGTGCTCTGCCTCATCTCTGCCAAGCTGTTTTCCTGCTGTTGACTGCCTACTTTTCCCCTCCATTCCACTGTCTGCCCCACTCAGTGATAGCCCTCTGCTGCTGTTCCTGGAACCATGATCTTTTTTTTAAATGTATCCCTTCAATACAGAATATGTCCTTCAGTATTCTTTGTTGGATTTGTTTGGTGGGCATGAATTCCTTCAGTTGTTCTTTGTCATGTAAGTATCTTGTTTCTCCATTAATTTTGAAAGATAGTTTTTCAAGGTACATCAATCTTGGTTAGAAGTTGTTTTCTTTCAGGACTTGAAATACTTCACTCCAAGCTCTTCTTGATTTCATGGTTTGTGTTGAGAAGTCTGTCGTGATTGTAATGGGTTTTCCTTTATAGGTGATCTGTTTCTTTTCTCTAACAGCTTTTAATATTCTATTCTTGTGTTGAATTTCTGGGATCTTGATTATTATATGTCAGGGTGTAGATTTACTTTGGCTATGGCTAGTTGGAGTCCTACATGCCTCAGTTATCTGAATGTCACTTCCTTTTCCCAGGCCCGGGAGGTTTTCTGATATTATTTCTGTAAATAGACTTTTAATGTCATTGGTGTTGTTCCCTTGCTTTTTCACTCACACTTATTATTCTTAAGTTATGTTTCTTTGGGTTTTCTTGCAGCCATTGAATTGTTACTTCCTGGTTCCCTATTATTGTTAAAAGATCTTTCATGATCACAGGCTGCAAACCTGTCTTCAAGATTTGTAAGTCTGTCTTCAGTTTCTTTCAAGCAGTTTTTCCGGTTTTCAATGTAATTTTTAATTTCCTGGATATCTCTTTGAATCTGTTTCATGTATCCTAAATCTTTTTTATATTGTTCATTCAAGGGTTCCCTCATTTTCCTATGCTCCTCTATTTTCTTCTGTGTCTTCTTTAGAGTTGCTTAGAAATTCTTTTAATATGTTTTTCATTTCTTCTTTTACCTGAGATAGAATTTCTGTTCTAATTTCTTTTGTAGTCTCATGAAATTGTTTCTTTACTTCAGTTGCCATCCCTTCAGAAACTTCAGGTGTACAACTCCTGATGTCTTCTGTGTTTACATCTCCAGGACCAGCTCTGCTTGGGTTGGGGGCCAGAGTCTGCCTTCTGCTTCTTAGTCTTGACATATTCCTGGGTTTTTCCAGACAAGTGGGTGGTGAGGTCCCAGGCACTTCCCATATTAGCTATAATTTCTCTGAAATGAGACTGTTTGGTTCTTCTAGCCAGGGCTGGCTATGGGTATCTGAGAGTGGCCATTGGGTGCGCTGATGCAGGGCTGTCTGCTGTTTTTCCCGTCCTGCACTCACTGATGGCTGTTGGAGTGCACACAAGGGCAAGGCTGGCTGCTGACTCCAGACTGAGTTAGCTATTGGTGGGTGATGGATAGTTAGCTATTGGTGATGGCTGCTGGGATCTGTGTGGGGATGCGGCTCAGCCCAAGCATTTTCCAACAGTCTGCTCCCAGGTAGGAATTGCTGGAGGGAGCCTGCAGCTTATCTGGCGCAACTCCAAAATGGCTCTAAACCAATCACTGTCTCCTGCAGGAGGACTAAGCCTTCTACACTCACCGCCAGCCAGTGCAGACCTCTGTGTATGCTGCAACACTCCACCACCGCCTTTCTTTCCAGAAGCCTCTGGGTCGCCAGCCACCACCGTTACTGTGACCCTGTATCCACAGGTTCCAACAGCTCCTCTGGCACAGTGGCTCTGGCTCTGGGTAAAGGTACTTCCTGCTACCACCTTATTTTTTGTTTAAGTTCTTCTATTTTACTCTCTCTGTGGGCTTTAATTCTCACTTTAGGTTCTTCCTGGGTTTAGGTGACCCACTTCCTTCCTTCTTGTCTTCCCCACAATGCTATATTCCAGCATCTGTTTCTCTCAGAGAGGCTATTTACTCTGCTGCTTACTATTCCATCATCTTCCCAGAAGCCCAAATTTTTCCTCTATATTTTGTTTTTCTTTATTTTCTTGTGTCATTTTACGGTATTTTAATTCATTTTATGTGAATATTTTTGAGTTGTGGAACAAATCATCTCCATTTCCATTACTCCTTATGGGGAAATTTGATTTGATATACAAGTGCTTTAGATTATATGCATGTTTCTACAACAAATTATACTTGAAAATCAATGTTTCGCTGTAGTCCTATTGGTTTATTTTGCTTTTGTTTCCTGTGCTTTTAGTGTCTTGTTCAAAAGATTCTTGCTCGTTCCAATGCTGAAGGATTTTCTGAAGTATTTTCTGTATTCTTCTTGTAGCTTCATGGTGCTATGTTTTCTGTAAGGCTTTAATTCAGTATTTTCTGAAGATTTTAATTCACTTTGAGTTGATTTTTGCATATGGGGAGAGATATGTGTATACTTTTATTCTTCGGTACATGGATAGCCAATTTTCCCTGCATCATTTATTAATGAGTTTGTCTTTTCCCCAGGTGCATGTTCTTAGCACCTTCATAAAGAATCCTAGGTCATAGGTGCATAGATTTACTTCCAGACTTTCTATTTTCATTGGTTGATATGAAGTCTTTTATGACAATGCTGTGTTGTTTTGATTACTATGGATTGGTTGTATGTTTAAAAATAAGGTAGCATTATGCTGTTTTTTTTTTTTGTTCTTTTTGCTGAAGATTGCTTTGACTACTTAGGGTATTTTGCAGTGCTATACAAATTTAGGATTGTTTTTCTAGTTCTGTGAAAATGCCATTGGTTGGGGCTGGGGATTTAGCTCAGCAGCATGAGCACCTTCCTTGTAAGTGTGCGGTCGTGAGTTCAATCCCTGGTACCGATAAAAACGAAAAAGACAAAAAAAAAAAAAAAAAAAAAAAAAGAAAGAAAGAAAGAAAAGAAAATGCCATTGGTATTTTCATCGAGATTACATTGAAATTGTAGAACAGTGGTTATAATGGACATTTTAGCTACACTGATTTTTAGTCCATGAGCATTGGAGGTCTTTCCAATTTTTTGTGTTTTCTTCAATTTATTTCATCAGTATTTTATCAGTTTCACTGTAGAGGCCTTTCAAAATTTTTGGTTCAACTTATTCCTGGCTAGTTTACTTTTCTGTAAAGCTACTGTAAATATGATTGCCTTCTTCCTTTATTTTTAACATAATTCACTATTGGTACATAGGAATGCTACTGAGTTTGTATGTTGATTTGGTATTTTGGTATTTTGTTCCATGTTCTTTGATCTTTCCACATTTCATGTCTTTTTTTTCTCTTACAATTCTCTAACCCCACCTCAAAATATTGTTAGTGATTTGTGTTCTTTATGAAATAAATATATTTCTTTTTAATAGCCTATATTTTCCATTTAATGAGTTGAGAAAGTTTTACTTAAGTAACACAATTAAAAAGATGAAACTCTTCATGAATTTGCATGCCATCCTTGTGCAGTAACCACACTGATCTTCCCTGTATCATTCCAGTTTCAGCATATGTGCTGTGAAAATGAGCTTGGTAAGTTCACTTTTTGCCCTAAGCCTACAGTAACCACATGCTGCCCTACATTTTCAAGAGAGAAAATTTTTTGTTGTGTTCCTGTTATTCTCCCCCCCCCCAACATCCTTTTATTCTCTTCAGGCTTCCAACATTGTTTCAGCCCACAGAATAACAGACTGCAGATCAGAGTTCTGCCGCCTTGCAAGGTGCTATAGTTTAGCTCCCCCTCCAAAACTTACGTTGAAATTTAATTGTCATTGCAATAATACTGAAAATTCTAGCCCTTTTAGAGATGATTGAGGGATAAACCTTCATGAGTGAATTAATTTCATTATCATGAGAGTGGGTTAGTTATTATAGGAATGGGAACCTCGCTGAGTGTGGTGGTGCATGCCTATAATCCCAGCACTCAGGAGGCTGAGGCAGGAGGATCATTGCAAGTTCTAGATCAACCTGGGATACAAAGTGAGCTCAAGGCCAACCTGAACTGTGTAGTGAGACCTTGCCTCAAAAAGACAAAAAAAAAAAAAAAAGGAATGGGATTCTGATACAGGGGTTAGTTTAGCTCCCTTTATTTCTCTGTTTTGTGCCCTTGTTTGACATGGGATGATGCAACGTGAAGGCCCTTGCTAGATGCTGGCACTTTTGGTATGGGGCTTCCTATCATCCAGAACTATGAGAAACAAATTTCTTTCTTTTGTAAATAAACCTGTCTATGGTTATCTGTTAACATAATAGAAATGAACTAAGTAAGACACCTGGTATGTGAGGGTCTGAAGAACACCATGAAGGAAACATACTATGATAAAACAGGGCCATCGACAGCCAGGAAGGAGGTAATACTTGCAAAGGTTTGATTCAAATACCTCTGTTTTTCTTGGTATCAAATCTAGTGCAAAGGCTATAACAACATCCATGTTTGGTAAGAATAGGTAATCAGGGGGTTGGGGATTTAACTCAGTGGCATAAACACCTGGCTGGCAAGCAAAAGGTCGTGAGTTCAATCCCCAGTACCAAAAAAAAAAAAAAAAAAAAAAAAAAAAAAAGCATACACAATCAGAGTTGAGAGACAAGGTAGTCTGTACATGTACCCAAAGAGAAAAGAGATACTACCAAAATGGTAGGTGAAGATTGCAATGTGAAATCTGGTGGAATAAATAAGAAATCAAGGTAGGCTGAGAGCAGGAAACTGTTAACAGGTATCAAAGTCCGGAAATAAATGTTTCAGTCCTTAGAAGACAAGCCAGAGAGGTTGGTGCTGTGCAATCAGAGCACTAGGTAAAATATATCAGTCAGAATTTGGGTTCAGGGAAGGCTCATAGATCCAGTGACCAAACAGGCACAAGTAAGGTCTGGGCAAGGCATTTGCCACGTCATAAAGAGCATGGCTTTTCAGCCTTTGGGCCATCCTAAGTTTCCACCATATACCCAGGTGCATGCACAGGATTTGGTGATGAGTACAAAATGATGGCTAAGACAGGATGATCACAGTCCTTGCAAAATTGGGCAATCAGTAAGGCTTCGGTGCTACTCCTAGCTGGGTGACCTAGGGCAAATCACTGTAAAGTGTGTTGAGCCTGAGTCAACTCTTAAATTTCTGGTTTGATTGGAAGGAGCACAGGGGTGGTGGGCTAAGGAACTCGTCTTGAGGATGCTTTCATATAAAAAACACAGTTTTTATCCTTTAACATTTTTAACGAAAATTTTCAACAGATAGTTGAAATGAGCATGCAGTAAACATCCTACACTCACTATCTGGATTCTGCAGCTGTTAGTATTTGCTGTATTTCTTTATCAAATATATATCCACTGCTCCATCCTTCAAATAAAGGAAGTTTTAACATCAGCATACTTTATAACTAAATGCCAGCCAATATACTGTTAAACAGACTTTAATGTTTATTTATGGTACTTTTGAGAGCTAAAACTTACACACAGTGACATGCACAAACCTAAGAGTACTCTTAGGTGTGTTGTGTCAAATGCATAGATAGATATCCTCACACGTCTGTCAACAAATAGAATAGTTCCTGCATGACAGAAAGTTCCTTAAGGAACCTTTGCAGTCATGTCTACCCCACCATCCCTGCGCTAACACACTAGTATTCCTCTAACGAATTATCACCAACTGGGTGACTTAAAACGACAGACATTTGTTCTCACAGTTCTGGAGGAAAGAGATCCAACATCCAGTGACAGCAAAGCCACTTTCTCTGAAGACTAGGGAAAGACCTGCTCTGTGCCTTTCTCTTAGCTTCTGACATTGCTGACAATCTTTAGTGTTTGTCAGCATGCACATGCATCATTGTCATCAGGTGGCCTTCCCTGTGTCTGTCTCTGTGTCTCTTTTCATTCAGGGTACCAGTCACACTGGATTACTGCCCACCCTAACAACATTATTAGACTTGATTACATGTACAGATATCCTATTTATCTCTTTTTGTTATTTTGTTTACATGTTCGCTTTTTTGTTTTTATTTTTACTATTACATGTTTGCGTTGCATAATGAATACATTCATCGTGGGGAGCTGGTACCTGTACATAAGACACCTTAATCTTTTTTACTTCCCTTTCCTCTTTTCTCCCTCTCCCCACTTTTCCAGATCACCTTCCCATTTCAAAAGATCTGTTTCCTATTGTCTGTCTTTTATTGTGCTCTTCAAATAATTTATAGTTAAACCCACACAATATTTAAACTTGTATGTCTAATTTATTTCACTACACATTACGGTTTCAAGGTGCCTCCATTTTACTACAAATGACTCAAATTTATCCTTTTTATGGCTGAGTAGTGCTCCATTGCATATACAGATATTCCTGGTTAGCAACATCCCTGTTTAACAACTGTTCTGACTTACAACTAAGGTCCGCTGTTGAGACTTATGACCTGCCACTCAGACTATGACATGTCTTTGTTCTTTTGTACAGTTCTGTAAATCTTGTTTATTGATCCCCAATTTCTTTTTTTAATACAGTACACTTTATCTATACAGTACTATAATTTTTGCTGCTTGTACTGTACAGTATAGTACAGGAATTTTGTATTCTGTTATACATTATAGTATTCCATGTAAAAGTTACGCAAATGAAACCAAAGTCATCAGGTCAGAGTTTCCTTTGGCTATTTCTTTCCTCTGAACATTGTAATGTACATATTATATGCAGTTCCTCATTTAGTATCCAATTCATATACCAAGCTAGTTTCAGGAGCGGAAGGAACTCAGTCACTGAGTGAGGAATGTCTGTGCATACCCCATTTTTTGTCCATTTCTCTGTTGATGAACATATAGGCCACTTCCAAGATTTAGCTCTTAAGAGTTGTGCTACTTTGGGGCTGGGGGTTTAGCTCAGCGGCATAAGCGCCTGCCTTGCAAGCAGGCAGTCGTGAGTTCGATCCCCGGTACCGATAAAAAGGAAAAAGACAAAAAAAAAAAAAAAAAAAAAAAAAAGAGTTGTGCTACTTAAACATGGGTATGTATGTGCCTCTGTTATATGATGTCTTTAACTCTTTTAGGGAGATATGTTTCAATAAAGTCACATTCAACATATCTTTTGGAGGGAAATAATTTAACCCCCAGCACATCCTCACATGCAACTGTTGTTCTGAATTTTTCTACCACCAAATTTTGCACAATCTATAATTTCATATGAATGAATCATATCATTTATACTGTTTCGCATTTTGCTTCTCTCGCTCTTCACATTTTTGAGATTCACGCATGTCACTGCATGTGTAGGTTATAGTTTCTTGGTATTGCTGAGCAGTATTTCATTGTATCATGTACCACACTTTGTTTACCAAGTCTAGTGTTGACTGACACTTAGATCCTTTTTAACTATTACAAATAAAGCTGCTACAAACATTGATACGTAACTCTTTTATGGGCATATATTTTCATTTCTCTTGGTTAAAAACCCAGGACTAAAATTTCCTGGTAATAATGAGAAAGGAAAGGAATGAAGGAATTCCATGTAAAAACTTCCACAATTACAGAATCTTCAGTAAGTTGATGTTGACTCTTAGAGCATCATGTGGAATTTCCTAAAACTCTGCTTACAAAGTTATGTCTTAGGCTAGCACTAAACCAATACCTGATACTGAGTTTATGTCCTAGCTTTAGGTAAAGGAGATATCCAGAGATCAGAATTGGGCCCTTGTAAATGACTTTAAAGCCAAGGTTAGGAATTGGGATCCATTTGTCTTGGGTTGTACCTATTTGATTATCCCTCTTCTAATTTTTATGGATATCACATGCAGTATCTGTAGTCCATGTGTTTCAAGTTTCTTTAAAACATCAGTTCTGGTTTTTTGTCCCATGTGGTGTGTGTGTGTGTGTGTGTGCGTGTGTGTGTGTGTGCACATATGTGCATTTGTGTGCATGTACATACCGGGAACTGAATGTAGGGCCTTTGCACTAAGCCTCCATCCCTAGCACTTTTTTAAAATTTTGAAACAAGTTCTCACTAAATTGTTCAGGCTGGGCCCAAACTTGCTATCCTCCTGACTCAGCCTCCCAGAGTGCTGGGATTACAGGAAAGTGACACAATGCCTGGCCACTAATAAATATTTTTTTAACCTAAGGTCTTGGGAGGCTTAATATAAATCATATTCTTGTTTCTAAATTTCATATTAGTAGTCCTATTGTGACCATGTTTTATAGAAGAAAGAAGCAAATGAAATGAAGCAGGTTTGGAGGGTTTACTTCCCTAGAAAGCACTGCAGTATTATCTGGTCACCCTGGCGTTGAGTGTGTGCTCCTTGCAGAATATTTGGACAGCTGGCCTCGGTAACTGGCCGCAGCCAGCGCTTGCTGCAGACCGTGTTTAGCTCCTCTCTAGGCCCCTGGGTAGCATTCCTCTGCCTTTACTCTGTGACTTATTCCAAGGGCTATCTCTCTTGCTCTTAATGAACTCTAGGTAAGGAGAATCATTCCGCAGCCTTTGACAGCTTATATTATAGTGCTTTATGATATTATCAAGTAATGTTTTAATTTCTACTGCAACTCATTTTCTCTT